TCGGACAGGGAGTGTCCTCGCAGATGAGCTAGAGAAGAGGTGTGCAGCTTTGAACCCCCAGTCATTATTAAACGTCGGGGTTTATTCACTGATCAGTAGTGTGTTGAAATCCCAATCATAAAATTCAGTCTAACATAGCCAAAACGTGAGTGGGGGATTTTTTTAAATCTGCTATTTTTGGACAAATTTTGCAATTCACTTTCTGATTCACTACAATTCAGCACTTCGTAAATAAACCAGCGACTGTCCCGTAATTCAGGCAAAGGATTATAGGAAATGTAGTCTGACTGTTCCCCTGGGATCAAAGATGGGTTGGAGGCCTCAATGCTTCCGTGCGTTATTAATTTCTCTTTCAGTTGTTAGTTGTTATGAGCCGCAAATATATATTTATACATATTTATTTTTTTATTTTTGGAGGGGGCTTTGTAGAATATTGTGAAGATTTATAACCAACACAATATTCCTTTTTCTCTAATAGGATCACATGATAATACCGCTTATTTTTCTATGTTGCAGATTTTGTTTTTGAAATTCGAAAGTGGAAGACGGACAGGGTTTTTCACTAAATTCTCCATTTCAGCAAATTGAAAGCCGCACAGCAAAATCAAGGGTAAAATTGTAACGTGTATCTATAGTCACAACTTTGTTTTAGCCTGACTCTTGCTGTTTGGGTTTCAGTTTGCTGCTATTTTGAAGTTTAGAAGAAATTCAATCTCAGCTGTTTAAATTTCAGTTATCTGTGGAGCCCGAAAGGGTGCAGATTGGGAGTTTGCAAAGCAGATGTTCAGTAGTGGCTGAGTTGGGGCAGCCCAGTGGGTCTCTGAATGAGTAATGGAATCAGGCACAAACTAAACAACACAAAACACATGTGACGAGACGCTTTATATCATGTAACAGAATGAGCAATCTGCTGCCCCTTCAGAGATCTCTGCTTCATCTTGAGATGGGCCTCATTCCACTGAACTACATATGTGGCAGCGCAGATGTCATGTGTCCTTAAGGGGTTAACGTGCGTAAATTCAGTGTCATTTTGCCGCCGTGGCGATGAATTTTGGATGAAAAAGGTTTTGTGATAGGGATGCACTGAAATTTCGGCAGCTGAAATTTTGGGTCTAAAATGGGCCTCCCCCATTTTGGCCGAAAAAGGGTAAAATCTGACGAACTTTTTTATTTTTATTTTTTTTAATTCTTTTTAATTTTTTGTATTCTTTATTTTTGTAGTGCATAGTTTAACAGACATGCTTGCATTGACAGTTCAGATGATTATATATCACAATGAAAGACAGTAATGATAACATGAAAAGTAAAGAATGTGCACTTTTTTAAAATTATTTTTTATAACACTTAAATTGCTTGACTACATTGATTATTAAACTGTATAAACCCTCTGGGAGACGCCCAGTAAGCCATTGAGAGATATACTGGGTTAAGAGCAGGGAAGTAGCAAAAAGACCCGCAGGAGAGAATAAAAATAACCTAAACTGCAATAGAATTAGCAAATCTTGCACCCCTAAATATATTTTATTAGATGAAGAAGTGACCAGGTGCCCAGAAGAGTCCCACGATATGGCCCAGTTTAGCCTATACCCTAAAGGGGCAGAACACAGTCCAGCACCCTGGAAAGGCACTTTAGCCTCCCATGGAGACTCAGACTTGGGTGGTGTAAGGGTGGGTAGGCTTCCATCCCGGCTGTTTTACAGACAGAGGGCACTGTCCGCTCTGCCTCTGTGTTTGGGCCCCCTTCACTGCAGTAGCTGCAGGCTTGCAATGAAGATGCAGAGGCAGCACCTGAGGTGAGTGGCCACTTTGCTTCTGCGGAGCAGGCTGTTGCCTTCTATGTTTCAGCTTCCTCCAGAAGTTGTTGAACATTTTGTCCAGCCTGGACATAATGTCAGGTATTCCACTGCTGTTAGGGGAACACGTGGCGTCCGCCATTTTTGGTGCTTTGTCTGCTACTTGTTGCATGTCAACCCAGACCTGTCTCAGTTGTGTAGCCTCCCAGTAGTGGACCGGGATTCATGAAAAAGCTAATATTAATACAATTTATAGAACAAACTATTTTAAAATCATTTGGGGAAAAAAACAAGTTTCGGTTTTCGGCCATGACCATCCTGAATTTTCGGTTTCGGCCCAGAATTTTCATTTTGGTGCATCCCTATTTAGAGATTCCATTGAGTACTTATGGGGAGGTAAAATACTTGACTCTTCCAAGACAGAAGAAATATTATTTGAAATAGTGAAGGTGTAAGCCTTCAGCTGATAAAATGGCTCTGTTACCTTTAATGATCTATTCTGATTTTGGGATGTGCAGGTCTGCGAGCTCTGTCTTCATTTTCTGACACTTCATCCGCCAGAAACTGCGTCTGTGCTGTCCTCCCTTGCGTGTGCAAGTGTGCAACACTCATGTCTATCGAGTATCGGGTCTTGTGAGACAGCAGGAGCCCCCATAGACTTAGTCTTGCGAACTGCAAGAAGCAGCCTGATTGGGGAAGTAAGTGACAAAACTTGACGGAGGAAACTCACCTTTTATCAACTTTTGTCCCGGCAGTCTTATGATATATTTAAATGTGTTTTAATTTAATTGCAATTCCATCACAGTCAATGTGAGTATTTCATAAAGATTATACTCAAAAATGTTGTGAGTTCACACAGCCACCTTGAGACTCTGATGAGTTCACCACTAACTCTGCGGACAGGCGCCGAGTTCACCGCTGACTCTGCGGACAGGCGCCGAGTTTACCACTGACTCTGCGGGCAGGCGCCGAGTTCACCGCTGACTCTGCGGACAGGCGCCGAGCTCACCACTGACTCTGCGGACAGGCGCCGAGTTCACCGCTGACTCTGCGGACAGGGCCGAGCTCACCGCTGACTCTGCGGACAGGCGCCGAGCTCACCGCTGACTCTGCGGACAGGCGCCGAGCTCACCGCTGACTCTGCGGACAGGCGCCGAGCTCACCGCTGACTCTGCGGACAGGCGCCGAGCTCACCGCTGACTCTGCGGACAGGCGCCGAGCTCACCGCTGACTCTGCGGACAGGCGCTGAGCTCAGTACTATAACATAGTAATATAACATTGCATTTTGTGTCTCTTTAATTCACAAGAAAGTTAGTTACTGTGTTAACAATGCTGTTAATTATATCAATATAAGAGTAATCACGATATTTTTGTGACATATCTTTTATAATTGACAAATATATAGAGTGAATTTTTTTTAATTTCATGTTAACAGGAAAACAGTTTGCAGTTTGGTAAATTTCGAGTCCGCTCGACACCTGTGACTATGTTTGCGGCTGACCTAAATTCAAACGCACCACCGTAATGTTGTTACCAGAAAATGCGACAAGTTGTTTGTGGTTTAACACGTGAACATCGTACGTCGCGGACCCCATAATAAATTCCTTTCAATTAAATATCTGGTTAATTTTAAATGGAAACTTTCAACATGTAACAATTCACAGACCGTGAATAACTGGGTACCAGAGCTCACTGCGCAACATGCAGTGCGAGGAAGGGTTTGATGTCTGGGGGGTTTTTGGGGGTTTTTTTGTTTTGTTTTGGTTTGTTTTTTTTTTACAAATACTAGTCGTTTTTTTAAACTCACACAGAATGCTGGAAAATTTGGTTGATTGTGTAAAACTAAGTTGCTAATAATAGTACGGTCTGATTAAAGGCTCCCACCACGTGCGTTGCTGACTCAAATTACACACCATTTAAATAGGTAGACGATTAGGAAGTGGTTTAACCCTGTCAATACCAAAAAGTCTTAAACATAACCTTTCCTGAAGTAAAGTAAGAAGAAATTACAGACGCGTAGCTAAAGTGAAAATCCTCTGATGGCTACATACGGCGGCTGTCTGAGCTTCAAACACCCATAGACCTCTTAATGCCAGCTTAATGAAACCTATTGAAAAATATTGAACAGCCAATAAATCAATAAAATCTGGTGGGCTGAGGTTACTTAGATAATACTGGTGCAGGAGGTGTATTTTAGGCAGCTGAACTTTCTCACTTGTTTGTGGATTATGAGCTCCATTAATGGTCAAAGGATTTTATAAACAACTCTGTGAGATACAAATTGGGTGCCTGTCAATCAATTTAGATCTACAGGGTACCATTTTCAGTCTATGGAGAGCTGCAGAGCTCAGCGTTCAGTCTATGGAGAGCTGCAGGGCTCAGTGTTCAGTCTATGGGGAGCTGCAGGGCTCAGCGTCCAGTCTATGGAGAGCTGCAGGGCTCAGTGTTCAGTCTATGGAGAGCTGCAGGGCTCAGCGTTCAGTCTATGGAGAGCTGCAGAGCTCAGCGTTCAGTCTATGGAGAGCTGCAGGGCTCAGCGTTCAGTCTATGGAGAGCTGCGGGGCTCAGCGTCCAGTCTATGGAGAGCTGCGGGGCTCAGCGTCCAGTCTATGGAGAGCTGCGGGGTTCAGTCTGTGGAGAGCTGCTGGGTTTAGTCTGTGGAGAGCTGCAGGGCTCAGTCTGTGGAGAGCTGCAGGGCTCAGTCTGTGGAGAGCTGCAGGGTCCAGTATCCAGTCTATGGAGAGCTGCAGGGCTCAGCGTCCAGTCTATGGAGAGCTGCAGGGCTCAGCGTCCAGTCTATGGAGAGCTGCAGGGCTCAGCGTCCAGTCTATGGAGAGCTGCAGGGCTCAGCGTCCAGTCTATGGAGAGCTGCAGGGTTCAGCATTTAGTCTATGGAGAGCTGCAGGGTTCAGCATTTAGTCTATGGAGAGCTGCAGGGTTCAGTATCCAGTCAATAGAGAGCTGCCGGGTCCAGTATTCAGTCTATGGAGAGCTGCCAGGTTCAGTATTCAGTCTATGGAGAGCTGCAGGGTTCAGTGTTCAGTCTATGGGGAGCTGCAGGGCTCAGTGTTCAGTCTATGGGGAGCTGCAGGGCTCAGTGTTCAGTCTATGGGGAGCTGCAGGGCTCAGCGTTCAGTCTATGGAGAGCTGCAGGGCTCAGCGTTCAGTCTGTGGAGAGCTGCGGGGTTCAGGCTGTGGAGAGCTGCGGGGTTCAGCCTGTGGAGAGCTGCGGGTTCAGCCTGTGGAGAGCTGCGGGGCTCAGTCTGTGGAGAGCTGCGGGGTTCAGACTGTGGAGAGCTGCGGGGTTCAGACTGTGGAGAGCTGCGGGGTTCAGACTGTGGAGAGCTGCGGGGTTCAGCCTGTGGAGAGCTGCGGGGCTCAGCCTGTGGAGAGCTGCGGGGTTCAGCCTGTGGAGAGCTGCGGGGCTCAGCCTGTGGAGAGCTGCGGGGCTCAGCCTGTGGAGAGCTGCGGGGCTCAGCCTGTGGAGAGCTGCGGGGCTCAGCCTGTGGAGAGCTGCGGGGCTCAGCCTGTGGAGAGCTGCGGGGCTCAGCCTGTGGAGAGCTGCGGGGCTCAGCCTGTGGAGAGCTGCGGGGCTCAGCCTGTGGAGGGCTGCGGGGTTCAGTTAGTAATAAACTGGGTTCCTGCCAAGTTCCTTTTAGTCTGAAATTGCGATCCTTGATTTTTAGTATTTTTCCTGCCAAGTTCCTTTTAGTATTGTGATCTTGATCCAGTTCATCTGTAAAAACACTTTTAAAAAAGCGAATTTATTTTAGTTTTTTTGCGATTCTCAGTTATTTGCAGTAGCTTGAACCCAAACACGGAAACCCTGGATTTTAGGAGTTTGCTGATTAGTTTTGTTGTTTTTCTCGTAGTGGAAACTTTTAAAAGCTGTTCTGGTTCAGTAAGTTTGTGTTTAGCAATTAATGTATTGATGGAGTAACGAGCCGCTTGCTCTGCACGCGTGACATGTGTGAATTCCAGACATCATACAAATCACAGGCCGAAGGTGCTCGTCAGGCAGGTATCGCAAGGTCATGGCAAGGTCAGATAACTGTGTGACTGAAACGTTGTCTTACAGAAACATGCGCTCGGGATTAACTCTGCGGGTACATGGATGGATGGATATTCAGTATTTTATTTATTAATATCTCCGCAAGGTGCGTGGAGGTGATATGGACGTTTTCCTGTATTTGTTCCTTGTTTCTGGTTATATTGGGCTGCTACTTGTTTAAAGGACGGCGACTCTACCTTAACTTACTGGAAGCTATGGAAAAAAATGATTTATTTTTTCCAATTTGTGGGTTTTTTTGTTTAAAACTTGAAATTTCCAGTCGTTTTTCTTATTTTACTGAATATCCTCATTGGTTTTAAGAATGGGAGTGAAGGGCCCCCTAGTGGGCACTAACGTATAAAGTGGTTGTATCCTCGGGGGGAGGTTAAAGGGACACTCCAGGCACCCAGACCACTTCTGCACATTGGAGTGGTCTGGGTGCCAACTCCCACTACCCTTAACCCTGCAACTGTAATTATTGCAGTTTTTTATAAACTGCAATAATTACCTTGCAGGGTTAACTCCACCTCTAGTGGCTGTCTACTAGAAAACCTGTGCTAGAGCGTCGCTGGACGTCTTCACGCTGTGTGAGGACCTCCAGCGTCACTCAATTCCCCATAGGAAAGCATTTTCAATGCTTTCCTATGGGGAGCTCTAATGCGCACGCGCAGCATTTCCGCGCATGCGCATTAGGTCTCCCCAGCCGGTGAGCGGGATCAGTCTCTCCCCCCGGCCGACGTAAAGACTGGGAGGAGCAGTTGCGAGCAGAAACCACGCCGAGGGACATCGCCAGGGTCTCAGGTAAGTGACTGAAGGGGTTTTCACCCCTTCAGCAACCGGGGATGGGGAGTGGGAGGTAGAGGGGACCTGCAGTGCCAGGAAAATGGATTGTTTTCCTGGCACTGGAGTTTTCCTTTAACTAAATGGTTACATTGTAGTCAAGGGGCTGGGGACTCCTCTTAACTTATTGGGCCATTCCTCAATCTCCTGATTCCGTCTGCAGGTTTCCCGCCATCCCTCCCCTTTGTTTATGTTGTGGGTGGAACAGATTTATTTTTTTACCTCTCCTTAGTGGGAGTTGTCTCCGTTGGTCAAAGTGGGGATGTTTAGTCGAACCAACCCTTGTAATTTAGTGGCTCCTGTGGTTGCTGTAGGTTGTGCGGCCTGGCTCTACTGGGCAGGATCGTATCTCTATTCCCTGTTCTGTGAGATGGTGCGGCTCCAGAGTGAGATGCAGAGATGGAGGACGGCAGGTGTATGGGTGGGTTGCTTCCCTCTACAGGTGATGGCCTGTTGGTAGCCCTTCTATAGCATCTCGGGAAGTTGCTAGGGCTGAAGATTCCCCCTGAGGTCCATTATGCCTTTGCTTGGGGCAGAAGCAATGGGCGCTCCGCAGCAGGTCCAGGTGTGAGCCACACCCGCTTTGCATGAGAATGTCCAGTACCAAGAAAAAAAAACCTGAAGGAAACAATGATTCAATGTTTTTTTATGGGGAATGCATTCTGTACGAACGCTACTCACTGTGCATTATGTGTGTGCGTGTGTGTGTCCCCCTCCAACCCCAATTTCAGCTTATGAAGGAGGAGCCATTGCTGAGAGATCTCAGAGCTGGAGTCAGGGGATTTGCTAAAGGGGTTTTTAACTCTTTCATGGGGGGGAGGGGGAGGGAGAGGGTGCGGGGCAGAGGGACACGTTAGTGTTAGGAATACATCTTTGTATCCTAAAACTCAAGTGTTCCTTAAAGACCAGCATAGACGAACTGGAAAATGTACCAAAGTCAGCTGTGCTCATTGGTGAATAAGCCAGACAGAGCTTCTAGAAAACAGGTGTGTTTTGGGATAGAAAAGAGGGGAAGCGGGATTTGGGTTATTAAGAGGGATTTGTCGTATTAAACCAAGACACTTGTACATCAGCAATGGGTAATATTATAGCCAGACATTTAGTTGCTACCCTGCTTTGATGTACGCAGTGGTTATGGTTCCTTAAGCATACATTATGCTCACAGACATCTGCTGGCTGAGCAGGAGGGGGGCACTTGTTGCCCCGAACAATTTCCACCCGTCAGATTTCCTAAATGATCATTTCACGTGCCAGTGTTACATTGCGTCACATTATTTCTACAAGTGACGCAATGGCAGCTGACTCTGTCAAACGTTCCGCTGGAGGCTGCTAGATCTACCAGGACACAGAGCTACGCTTCGTAATGGAATACGTCTTCTAAAATTAAAAGAAAGCCTTCATTTGCTCATTTTGTAGTATTCGTAACTGGCAGCAATGGGTTGAGCTCCCAGTTTTACATCTGCAACGTGCATAAATTATGTATTTTTGGTCTTAGAAAACTAGTGCGGCAGCGGCAGCCCACAGTCACAGTTTAATATTCGCTGTACATGTTGCCAAGTTCTGCCACTCATTCCCATATAGACCTTAATAAACGGATGAGGGTCTGAGCTGAATGGATTCATTCCAAGCACTTTCCCCGGCTAATGAATCCAACTCTTTCTCAAAAACGCACATATTTCTAAATTTGTTTTGTGCTGATTACTTGTAAAGTGGATGCAAATAGAAAGGCTTGGAATTTTTGTACGAGACTGCTCGAGTTTTCTGTATCTTAAAGGACAACGGGGCAGAATGTTCGTTCGTCTGGCTTTGAGCCCAGCTGCCTGATTTTCTTCAGAAACCAAGTAATCTGATCTAAAAATGCCTGGACCCTGTTTTAATTCACTGTTCACCTCTGTCCCCTCTTCTGTAAGAGTAACAGGGTGACACTTTATATAGGGTGACAGTTTAAGGGACACTCCACGCACCGTACCGTATGCTGTATCTATTATTTATGATTGTGAAAGAATTTACTTTTTATTTTGCTGTGGCTGAATTCTGCTTATTTTACAGTATTTTTTTTTTTTGTGCCATAAATTCTAAAGGTTTTGCACAAAACATTAGTTTTGCACCAATAGCTTCCTACCTCTATAAGCACTATGTTAGGCTGCATTAAAACAATAAGCTGCAGTGGTGATGGTACAAGAATACCTTGCACGCACTAACCGCTCCCATTGCGGCTTGTAAATGCAGTGATTTGAAGAAAGCAATATCACATACCCAAAGAGGAGGTTTTACTTACTATTTATTTATTTATAAAATATTTTACCAGGAAAGATACATTGAGATTTCTCTCGTTTTCAAGTGTGTCCTTACTCCTTTAAAATGTTATTTTTGTCCAATTTTACATGACGCATTCAGATGCCACATGCACAAGAGTGCAAATCCCTGCACCCATCCCGGATCATAAAACTCTGAGCCATGGTGTGGGTAAACTGATTGCAGCCACGTTATAGCCGCTATCCGTTTATACAGCAGTTTCACTCATTGTATGTGATGACTGCAGCTGGGTGATAACATACTTTTCACGTAATCACCTGTTGGACACGTGCTTGCGGAATACGATCTGGCCTATAGTGTCCCTGTGCCCCCACAGCCATGAAAGGCTTAAAGAACCCTTTAAACACTCCCCTTATTCCAGAGCCGATGTCCTCGGTGCTGGCTCTGTCTCCGCCTCCTCCAACATCATTGCGTGGGGGAACCTACTGTGCGTGCATTAGGCCTTCCTCATAGTAAAGCATTGCATCAGTGCTCCTCTATGGGGATTTTGAAGAAGTGTGAGGATGTCCACGATAGTTTTCATGGAGTTAAATTGCGCCATTAGTGGCTGTCTGGCAGACCACCACTAGAGGCAGTCTTAACCCTGCAGTGTAAACATTGCTTTTTGTTTAAAACTGCGTCAATGAGATTACATAGTGTCCCTTTAAAGTACCCGGATATTGGTGTTTCCTGATCTAATTTTAATGGGAGATAAATAAGCTGGCTGCACTGTTTGTTGCTCAGTCTGTCACATGAGACTTTCCTGAAGTGTTTGTGTTTCCCGGTAATGGGCTCCTGCGAGTGATGGGGGGTGTTTAACCATAGGAGACCCTTATCTGTGACTGCCAGGACCAGTTAATTATAGATCCACAGTTGCCAGCTGTCCCATTTCTGCGGGGACAGTCCCATGAACCGAGTACCTGGTATCGTGAGGAGCTTTCCCCCCCACAAAACGGCTGTCCTGGGACACAGAGCCTGGCAGGAGAGAGGAGGCAAGAATGGAGTTACCGGCGGCTGGCACCAGCATTAGGAGACAGGGCCGCCAAGTGGTGGGCCGCTCTGTTTTCAGACCTGACTGACCATAAATCCTCGGGGCAGCAGAGAGAACTGGCAATTCACGGCTTGCTGGGAGACTGCTGTGGTACATGTGACTGTGACCTCTGACCGAGCAGATTTAGAGAGACGCAAAGAGAAGTGAAACAGAACTTCTGTCAGAAAGTTTGATTTAAAAAAAAATGGTGTATATTCAAAAATGATAGGAAGCAAAAGAAGCCACAGATGTAAAAAAACCAAAACAAACAAACAAAAAAACACAATTTATAAATTGCGCTAAATATTAGCTGCAAAATTAGCCGTAACAGTGTTAGGATCACGGTTATTCATTTAAAGACATGTTTCTAACTAGGAAAACAAAGATTGTTTAAAATGTGTGCAGTGACCGGTGGCACACGTGGTCAGTACATTCTGTTCTCTGGTTATAAAAGGCTGGTACACAGGAATGGAGTAATGTGTTAAAGGTGATCTTGTTTATACAATGTTGTAAAAGGAGAGATAATACTAAACTATGGGTAAGTAGGTATGTCAAGGGTCTGTGCATTGTTGTGCTGTAATAGCACGCAGTTTGACACCCGGTTCATTAGATGAATTTGCTGAAATCATGATAGTAAGAGTTATATTATTATTATTATTATTCTTATAGGAAAATTACGGTAACGTTATATTATTAGAATGAAATATTACTTGTAATAAAGCCTGCGTGTGCGTTATGATGTAATCAATAAATATGTTTATAACTTTTTAATGCATTTCCTGATCTACCCTTGGTCTTTACTCCATCGATCTTTACCCCTCTCTGGGCAGAAGCACAGCTTATCTGCGCATGGCGCACAAAATCTGAGGGTCTGAAATTGATCCAGGAGCCCTCCTTCCGTAGTCCCCCAACATACGCCCACAAGACTTCTTGACGCACACTAGTTCTAAGTTACTTGGGCTTTGATTAGATAAATGGATACTTCTGACCATAGAAGACGTAGAGACATGTTTATGTAATTGAATGCATTACAAAATAACATATAGAGAGAGAGAGAGAATACCTATTTTATTTCAAATAATTATAAAAATAAGTTTGTTCTCTTAGTAAAATCACATTGATAATTTCATAAACCTCTAAAAACCTTTGTTTTGTTTTGTTTAAATACATTTTCTACTTCAGCTATTTTTTTTCTAGATATCTATTCTGCATCTAAATTTATAGATCTGTTTTACTGCCTGTGTTACTTCCTTTTTGGACAATGAGGAAGGATGTGTCACAGTCGATAACCGATAGCGATGATTTTTAAACTTTTTTTTAATATATATATATAGGGAACTAAGTTATGTATATGGCATTAGAAGGTGACTCATCATTAATATAAAATAAAGTGATATATTTCATAGAATACAATACCCCACTTTTAAAGAACCATATTAAATGGATTCCCGAAATGCCGCAGTAAACCATTCTCCCCCCTTTTTATCTCTAAATAAAGCAAGTTATGATTTACTAGACTCTGGCCTCATTTTTGGGTTCATTTACTAAGAATTTCACATTTCAGACCTGAACTGAATAAAAGTCGGCAATGTTACAAATTGACAATTCACACTTTTTAGTGAATATACATGCATGTTTTTAACTGCTTACTAACAGTTGTTTTGATTGAACAGATTCAGTTAAATTAACTGGGATTCCAAATGCTTAAAGGACTACTATAGTGCCAGGAAAACAAACTTGTTTTCCTGGCACTATAGTGCCCTGAGGGTGCCCCCACCTTCAGGGTCCCCTCCCGCCGGGCTCTGGGGAGAGGAAAAGGGTTAAACTTACCTTTTTTCCAGCGCCGGGCTGGGAGCTCTCCGCCTCCGATCCTCCTCTTCGGCTAAATGCGCACGCATTTACAATGCTTTCCTATGGACGCTTGCGTGTTCTCACTGTGATTTTCACAGTGAGAAGCACGCATGCGCCTCTAGCGGCTGTCAATGAGACAGCCACTAGATGCTTTGGGGGAAGGATTAACTCTAACATAAACATATAAACAAAATGTTTATAATAACAAAATGGTTAATCCTAGAGGGACCTGGCACCCAGACCACTTCATTAAGCTGAAGTGGTCTGGGTGCCTAGAGTGGTCCTTTAAACTGCATTATCCCCCATCCCCCGCCAAAAAAATATTAACATAGTGTTTATTTGTAGCAAGGGATGAATAGCAAGTATACAAACTTATTATAACATCGCGATTTTAGTTATAGATTGCTTGGCAGATAATGTTTAAAAATTTCAATTAAGTAAAGTTACACTTTTACACTTTTTTCACTTATTTGTTTAGTCTTTATAAAAATGTAATGTTTTAAACCGTATGCGGGGTCCTTCATCTTGCAATATTTCACACAGGGTCTGAAATGTGGTTATAAAAGCAATATTATCTATAGTATATTTCCTGGTAAAATATTTTATAAATAAATTATCATATCCGTAACCAGTGGCTTCTGACAGACATATTTGCTCCTCTTCAGGCTGGTAAATATTCTTAGAATAAAAATGAAGATGAGTGAGACTTTACAGACTAGATTTCATATTGCAAAATACATGAAAATAAAACCGTTTCTACTTAATTTGGGTATTGAAGGGGCTAAAGTAGTGACCCCGACATAGGGAAGCGAGGTCAGAGTGTCTGAATTATCCTGCGTGCGCTCTGGTTATGTTTGAATGCAGACGACATTGAAACTTCCGCTTGTCACGGATACCATTGCTGATTGTACTGATTAGCACTGTTGACATTAAACATATTTTATTGTATACGGTTACACAGGTAAACAGACCCGTAGTCTGATTCAACCGTTTTCCATTAAGTATACGGATGACTTTATTTTGTTGCAAAACATTAACACACCTGTCACCTGAAGAAACCTTTAATTAACAGGTGAAAAACTTGCAAAACCCTGCATCAGGCAGGTACAATATATCCTAAACATTGCATTTCTGCCAAGAGTCCCTATTTAGGAAGAGCAGTCCCTATTTTGGGCAAAAATCCCTCTGTCCCTATTTTCTGTCCTAATGTCCCTCTTTTCTAGGAGCTCCATATTGTTGGTGTGTCTGAGTGTATAACAGAGCTCCACAGCAATAATACTCCCAGTAATGTGTCTGTGTATAACTGAACTCCACAGCAATAATACTCCCAGTAATGTGTCTGTGTGTATAACAGAGCTCCACAGCAATAATACTCACAGTAATGTGTCTGAGTGTATAACAGAGCTCCACAGCAATAATACTCCCAGTAATGTGTCTGTGTGTATAACAGAGCTCCACAGCAATAATACTCCCAGTAATGTGTCTGAGTGTATAACAGAGCTCCACAGTAATAATACTCCCAGTAATGTCTGTGTGTATAACAGAGCTCCACAGCAATACTACTCCCAGTAATGTGTCTTAATGTATAACAGAGCTCCACAGCAATAATACTCCCAGTAATGTGTCTGAGTGTATAACAGAGCTGCACAGCAATAATACTCCCAGTAATGTCTGTGTGTATAACAGAGCTCCACAGCAATAATACTCCCAGTAATGTGTCTGAGTGTATAACAGAGCTCCACAGCAATAATAGTTAGTGCTTCTCTGGCATTAGTCTAGCAGTGACAGCTAGTTTAATAATCTGAATATTACTGGGATTTTATTCTGATACAGCTGGGGCTGCCAGGACCACTCATCCCAGCAGACAGTATGACCCAACATGAGGTCTGTAACCTTATTAATACAATAAATCGAGCTCATTGCAACAAATAAATTGTCTGCTGTGCATTAAAGGACCACTATAGTGCCAGGAAAACATACTCGTTTTCCTGGCACTATAGTGCCCTGAGGGTGCCCCCACCCTCAGGGACCCCCTCCCGCCCGGCTCTGGGGAGAGGAAAGGGGTTAAAACTTACCTTTTTCCAGCGCTGGGCGGGGAGCTCTCCTCCTTCTCTCCTCCTCTTCTCCTCCCCGTCGGCTGAATGCGCACGCGCGGCAAGAGCTGCGCGCGCATTCAGCCGGTCACATAGGAATGCATTCATAATGCTTTCCTATGGACGCTGGCGTGCTCTCACTGTGAAAATCACAGTGAGAAGCACGCAAGCGCCTCTAGTGGCTGTCAATGAGACAGCCACTAGAGGATTAGGGGGAAGGCTTAACCCATTCATAAACATAGCAGTTTCTCTGAAACTGCTATGTTTATTGAGAAATGGGTTAACCCTAGAAGGACCAGGCACCCAGACCACTTCATTAAGCTGAAGTGGTCTGGGTCCCTAGAGTGGTCCTTTAACATCTGCCTTTTTATTTCATTTCCTCCTGAGTGGATATAAGTGTAAAGTGTAGGGATTCATATTCAATAAAAATAAAAAAACCTATAACAAATGCTAAATAAAACCCAGGAGTTTACATGTTTAACTTTCAGTTTTCTTCAATAAAGCATTAATTGTTAGGAATTCAAAGTAACTTTCCAATAGGTCAAATAGCCAAATTAAATCCATAGCCGGCTCGGACATTTTATCCAGCTCTGTTTATTTTGCCCTGAATCTTGAAATTTAAACATTTAACGTTTCATTGAATGACCCGGAATCAGTTAAAATTAAGATAACACAAAAATGAAGAAATCTGCATGTTTTATTAACTTTGCACCGAAATATGGAGTGTAATCGTGTATTGTCTGAAGCTTTGAATGAATCCGCGTTTCCGAAATTGCTCTGCGTTTCCATTTTTGGGGAGCAGAGATTCTCCGTCTCCTCCCTAACTGTGAATTTTGCACTTTAAGGCCCTGTTTCAGTATTCCAGATGAACGTTTGTCGAATGAGACGTCAGGGTCGCCAATCTCTCGGCAGCTGCTCCAGAAACGCGCCTGTTTCTATTATTAGATCATAACCTTATTAATTTACCAAATTTGATTGTCCTCCTTCCTGCTAATTCTTTTAATAGTACTATTAAAGCAGCTGGATGGGTCACTGAGTCACCGTGTTTTCGGGTGGGAGGCCATTTTGTTAACCAAAGAATCCCATTCTTTATTATAGGAAATCATTCATGTGCTGCGTTTCCTGAGCATTTAAACACAACTGTCTCAAAATATTTTGAAGACAACGCATCGCAAATATTTTTTTTTAAATGTTATTTACAGACAACAAAATATATTTTTCCAAACAGAGATAGACCTGGCCAGGGCCGGACTGGGGAAAAAATTAGGCCCGGGCATTTTTCAATTAGAGCGGCCCCCCAAAAAGGGGGCGGGGCCAGAGAAAGTGAGCATGTTGGTTCAATGCGCAGAGCCCCGCTGAAGAGCTCTAGCATTAGAAAAAGGCCCTGTATTTGTTCTGCGCAGCGCAAGCAAATGTAATAACATGCTTGCGCTGTGTTTGCTTTTAAATTGTCTCTGGTGTCTCCACAAGTGGGATACCAGAGGACAAAAGGGCAGGAAAGTGTATGGTGCATGTGTTTGGCGCATGCTTGTGGGATTGCCTGTGTGTAGAGTGTGGTGTGGTATTGTGTAAATAGGTCAATTTTGTGGTGTAATATGTGTGGCTAGGGGCTGTAGAGAGTGCGTGTATAGGGGCATAGTGTTATAGGGGATGTAGCGAGTGTGTGCATACGGGCAGTAGTGTGTGTGTATAGGTGATGTAGTGTGTGTCACTTATACACACACACTACTGTGTGTAGAGAGGGTGTATTTAGATAATGTTGTATGTGTTTGCTTACAAGGAATGTAGTGTGTGTGTAGGTGGTGCAGTGTGTGTGTGTAAGAGATCTGGTGTGTAAAGGACCCAGAGTGTGTATAGAAGATTGTGTGTGTGTGTGTAGAGGATTAAGAGTGCATATAGGGTAAGGGATCTAGCGTGTATCTGGAGCGTAATGTGTGTAGTGGTGCAGTGTGAGGGGTGCTGTAGTGTGTGTGTGTATGTGTGTGTGTGTGTGTGTATGTGTATATATATATATATATATATATATATATATAATCTCAAAAAAACAGGATGCTTGGCACTCTCCTTTAAGTAATAAGAAAGAACTATTAGCCTGGGTGCTATATCCCAAACGTCAGAAAGATACAAAAATCAAAACTGAGGATGCACTCACAAGACTTGGTTTAAGTAAAAAAAGGGACTTTTAACTATTCCATGTGAATGGAAAATTTATTTTTCTGTACATTTCACATGGAATAATTAAAAGTCCCTTTTTTTCACTTTAACCAAGTCCTGTGAGTGCATCCTCAGTTTTGATTTTTGTGTGTATATATGTATATATATATATATATATATATAAAAAATATATTTGGACGTATTGTATGTGTGAGGTGCGCAGCGTGTTTGTGTAAGAGGGGTGCTGTGTGTGAGGGTGTTTTTATCTGCCGTCACATTCTGGGTTTCTAATTTTGTCTGTTAACTCACTGAGGGTTATTTTATATAATATATGTG